AGTACTTTTTTTAAAAGTACTTGTACTCAAGTACATTTTATAGGAAAGTACTTTTACTGTACTTAAGTACATTTTTTAGATTGTACTTAAATTTGTACTTATGTACTTTTTAAAAAGTACTTTAACAGCTCTGTCCATCACGTCGTGTCACGGTTAAAGAGTTAGTGATCTTACACCTCTACTCTATGACTCTTTACTAAACCATAACAATTAGCCTTTGAAAGAGTACTAAAAATTAAAAGAATGGGTGCTTCGTTAGCTCAGTGGGTGATCATGCTGGGCGAAGGAGTATAGGTGTCACAACGCGGTGGAATCAGGCGCACGTCATTTTTTGGGCATGAGGAGTTATTGACCTGGTATCAAATCACCTGAAAGCTGATTTATTTGTCTTGCTTTCAATGAATATATCCATTTATCTTGACTAGAATTCAAGATATAATTTGCCATTGAAGGAAGTGAGGTCGCCTGGTTTCAGTGGTGAAATTAACGGCCAAAGTTTGGTATCGCCAATAGCTAAAGAGGCTTTGAAACCCGGAAAATGACATATTTTGTGCCTATAATCAATGTTTTTCAGTAAAATTCACACGCAAATTATGTGTTTTTATATATGGACCTTCTAAAAGAGGTAGCCAAAAAATACAAATTCAATAAAAATATCCAAACTGGCAGAAAAATGCTTGTTTCTCTGATTTTGTTATTTTGACGAGCGCCTGATTTCACCACGCTGCCTCACATATGTTTTTGTTCGAATCCTAGACAGGGTGTTCTTGAACATGGGTCGTTTTGGAGTTTTCAAGACGGAGTGTCTACCAGAGATGGGGACCAATCCCAAAAAATTATTAGGAAAATTCTGCGACAGCAGCAGGAGGTCAGGGGAAGAAATTTACCTTTTTAATTAACTTTAAAAGCGTAGTCTCTGAGAGTGTTCTGAATTTTGAAAAAAAAGAATTACAATAAGGTGTTATTTCACTAGGTAACAAATATAATTGATAAAATTTAAAAATACGGAAGCCTATATTCATGATCTAAATACTTACATTACAATGAATGCTTCTACAGGTCAGATCAATGTTATTGTTTGATGGTCAAGTAGTAATTCTTTTCCCTGCATGTTCTCATGTTCAAGTAGGAGGAGAAATGGTAGTATAGTATGTAACTTTTTCAAGTGTAGTGCAGCAATAGTTTGTCCACACCCCCTTTCCCATAGCAAGAAATGGTTCAAATCCACAATGCAACAGTACAATAGTCGGCAATCTTTTATTTATTTTTTAAATTTGGAATTTCAAAAATTTTCGGAGAATCCTCATCCCTGGTCTACATACACAGTAACCGGGTGCTTAAAGTTGCGGGGGCCCCTAGAGCTAGAGGTGCAAGGTAAATGCTTTGTTCCCTTCATGACCTTGATTTCTTTCATTTTTGTTACCCAGAATTTTCCAATGACGGCCTGATCACTTAACAATATGACATATAAATATATAAATATATAGGCCTCAAAATAATCTATAAAAGTTGTTCTTCCGTTGCTTTAAAAGAAAGCTTTGTCCGAGTTAGGTTACTAGGGCCCATCATTAAGACCTGTCAGTGAAACTTTCAAACGCTCGCGTTCAGACGACATGACCTCCTACGTGTGAGTAGCGCGTGTGTCGGGGACCGTCGGTTGTCGAAGTCAACAAAGTTCATTCACACTTGTCGCGTTGGTCGAGGTGTTTTTCGGGACTTAACCAGTGTGGGACGACTGAGAGGAGGGGG